CTGTCGTTCTTTGCAATTCGAACGGGCAGGAAGTAAACGTCGCTTACTGCATTTCACGGTATTTTACATCGCGTACGGGAGTGTCCGAAATTTCGCGCGATAGATTTTCGCGAGTTAGTGCTGTGAGTGTAAGTGCAACAAGAAAATCTCAGAGGAGGGAGCAGGCCTAGGCGGCATCGGGCAACGGCAGAGAAATCGTAAGGTAAGTGTCATTACATTTTTGTTATTTGCTAATTGTGCAAAATAAAGCATCTGCTCTGTGCTTTTATTTTATTTATTCAAATGATTCGAACGTGGATTCGAATAAGTATTAGAGACAAAACCATACGTATAAAATTTTGTGAGTTCATATTTAAAAGGAAGACTTTTAGTATTCTATATAATTGTTTTAATAAATACCTATTTTTTAAATATAAAATATAAAGTATATTTAATACAATAGTTTCGATTTTGCATAATTAGTCTATAATAATCGTATACATTTTTGTATTGTTACAGTTTAACATATATAGTTAGCGATGTACAACTTTGCTGTTGCGACTCGTATCAGTGAGTGACAAATTACTTTTATTTTAAATTGACGTTGCGCATACAATTACTTCTTCGCGAGTATACAAATGCTTAAAAATATACAATGCTCGACCACAAACTGCGCATTTTATCGTTTCTAGTATTGATAAAATTAATATCGTTGCAATTGTTTTATGTGAGAAGGGAAGTTCGAAAAGAAAGCTGGCATGTTTAACGAGCGAGAAACGTTTGGTATATTCAAGCGACTTAATTGTCTCGCGCAATAAAATATATTTTGTACGTAAGGAAATAGAACGATTATCCTCTACAAAAGTTTCTCGAGTATTGCGAACCTCCCCAAATAATTCCTTCGAGAATTCCACACGTGAGAAATTAGCTGAGATATCAGTTATGTATAGCATGTGTCGAGCTTTCATAATACTCAGTCGGGTAGTAATATGAAACTATACAAGTGCAACGGAACGAAAGCTCGTTAAGGCGGAGAACTTCATTTAGCGGCGTTATAATTAAACCAACTAATGCTTGTTATCTTGACAGTGAAGCACCGTTGCACGCGAGACTTAATCCGCGTTCATTTATACCGTGCATGCAACTATCCCTTTCGCTTTATTGCGAATCCGTTTCAATGTGACGCTCTTCAACGTGACAATCAGAGTATCCCTTGAGGAATGTAAATTGCGGTTTTGTACATTTTATTTTCCACAGAAATGCCTGCGAGAACGAGAAGGTGAAAAATTTGGATTAGAAACGTCATAATTTTCCCCCTGAATTTTTAATCCTGATCTCGCATTGGAATCCCTCTCTTTTTTTTTAATCTCGAAAAAGTCGCCATCAATATTTAGCGGCGACTCCAGCGGCGGCATTTTTTATGTCATATTAACGACGTGACTCCGAAACTAGCTGCCGCGTAAAAAAATCGCATCATTATATCCGACATAAACAAATCACATCGATTATTCTCGGCGCGAGAAAATGGCGGACGTGAGTTATTAATTCGCGAATTCAGAGCAACGCTGAGTTTGCACGTAATTGCTAGTTAACTGACTACAAATGACTGCGGAAAGCAGCGTAAT